CTGCTCTGAACACAAAGGACTCGTCTGGACTTGGCCGTGGACCGGTGGTTTTGAGTTCTGGGCTCTGTCCCGTGAGCGGCTGAGAATGGAGACGGAAGAGGGCACGAGCATGCCGGGCACCACGCAGGGGGGCAGAGGACACCCCTGGAAGAGAAGGAGGTGGTGAGCCTGCCCTCAGGAGCACCGACGGGGAGCATCTCTGCTCTGTCTGGATCCGGGATTGTGCCTCAGGGCTGTGGAGGCGTCATGGCAAGGGGAACCCACACAGCTGACTAGGTGCCCTCCCTGGTTTCAGTGAACCCGGCGCATTCTCAGACGATGTGACGTGGGTGCAAGCTGTTCCTGCTTCCGTATGTGCGGTGGGGTTTGATTGCTCATCAGCGGACAGTTGCTGCTTGTAGGAAGTAAGACGGGGGAGTCAGGAGCCTTCTCACAAGCATCAAAGGCTTTGCAGTAGCAGGAGTGACAACGGTAGAAGCATCTAGAATCTGCAGAGGGCCTGCTGCGTGGCTTGCACCATGGCGCTCCGCTTACCTGCTGAAGCTCTGAGGCTTTCTCCACTTTGCGGTTCCCTCTTCTCCCTCCTCATCTGCTCTCCCTCTGTTCATCCTGGCTCCGCAGGAACAGCTCCAGGAGAGAGTGGCTCCAGCCCGGGGCCCAGCCTGCCCCTTCTCTTCTGGAAGCGCTCTCCGCCCAAGGCAGCTCTGTGAGACGCAGCTCTCCTTCTCTGGTGTGGGACAAACAACCACCAGGCCGAAGACAGAAGCTGCCAGCTCTGGGGGTCCGCCGGCTGCGGTGGGGCTGTAGGAAGAGGGTCTCCCCCTGGCTGTGAGCCTCTCCCTGCCCTGGCTGCTTTGCGTGAAGCCCCGGATGTGGCTGATGTGGGCGCGGGACCCAGGCGTCCTGCAAACCTCTGCTGTCTTCCCAGCATGGCCCTCACCGGCTACACGAGATGGTCAAGCCCTTAACTTCCCTAGGCCTCAATTTCTTCATTTTAAAATGGGGATAATCATACGCACCTCACAAATTTCCTACGAGGCACACAGTAGGCGTTTCATTTATGGTGATTCCTTACCGAGTGCAAACTAGCAAAGTATTTTTGGGATTCGTGAATACTGGCTCTGCTCCTGAGGCTGTGGGGAGAGGGTGGCTCTAGGTGGAGTCAGGTTTGGGCCCTGCAGGAAGGTGGGGAGCCCCGGGCCCCAGGTCCCAGCTGGGACATCCCATAACATGTTGGCCAATCCAAGTGGCTGACCTTGGGGACTCCTCTGTATCCTAGGCGGGTGGGGAGTTGCCAGGATAGGGGCTAAGTGCACACCCAATGGGGTATCTCTCCAGCCCACAACACCTGTCCCCATCTGGAAGACCTCTGCTTCTTCCCCATCTACACGGTTAGACGGGTGACAGCCTGTCACACCAGCCTGACCCCCACCCCGGAAGCTGGTCACACCACATCTTCCCGGGGAATTCGGGGCTGAGCGCTGACGGATTCCGTTATCATCCCGGCTTTTCAGTAGGGGAGCCGTCAACCCAGGAACCATTGGCTGTGGGCATTCCACTGTCACCATGTGTGTTTGTTTTTAAGATTCCCAAACCGACAGAAAGGTTGCAAGAACACTTCGGCGACCATCCATAGGCTCTTTACTTACGTTTGTCAATTGTTAACATTCTTGTCCACATTTGCTTTGTTTCTGTTTACATACCGCACACATTTTGCGGTGGTCAAACCATTTGCAAGGGAGTTTTAGACATCGTGACACTTTCCCCCTAACTACTCCTCGTACATCCCTTAAGAATGGAAGGCATTCAGGGGCGCCTGGGTGGCTCGTCGGTTAAGCGTCCGACTTCGGCTCAGGTGATGATCTCACAGTTTGTGGGTTCAAGCCCTGCATCGGGCTCTGTGCTGACAGCTCCGAGCCTGGAGCCTGCTTCACATTCTGTGTCTCCCTCTCTCTCTGCCCCTCCGCACTCACACTCGCTCTCGCTTGCAACAATAAATAAAACATTTTAAAAAAAGAACAGGAGGCATTCTTCTACATAACCTTGATGTGATTATTGTGACCTGAGCCAAATTCAAGAGTCAGACGCTCGATTGACTGAGCCCCCCCGGGCACCCTGATATTGACGTTTTGGAGAATCAGGGCCGGCTGTTCGGCAGAATGCCCCCCCCCCGTTGGGTTGTGCCTAGCGTGTCTTCATGATGCGGCTCAGGTTATAGGGGGTGGGGGGGAGTGCTCCCCAGGTGGGTGCTCCTCCACAGGGGGTCCCATCAGGCAGGAAGCGGGTCACACCACATGATGTCAGCTGTACTCTTGTTAGTGAGGATAAGTTTAACAACGTGGTTAAGGGGAGCCTCCCAGACGTCACCTTTTATCACTCCCTGTGAATCTTTACCCGGTGCGTTTAGTGTCTTTTACTGGTTCTTACTGAAGTCGGTGATAAAACGGTGATTTTCTGTTTTTATCATTTATTCTACGTTTTCCAGTAGAGAAGAGCTTTTCTTCCTCTGCTTAAGATCGAAAACATTTATTGATATGAACACATGGCTTCTTTATTATTATTATTCTTTGATGGGATTTGCGGGCACTGGCTTTGGCTGGAAGTTGTAAGAGCAGTGAGGTATGGACATCATTTTGAAAGTCACCTTGTCCCAAATTTGGCCAGTGGGAGCCCCTTCGAGTTGACTCTTCCATCCATGCCTTCCATGCTCCCCCATCCCGTTTTGAACACTTCCTTGCTTTCTGGAACAGGAAGAAGTCCGGACTCACCCTGTATGCTTCCTGGAAAGTGGTCTCTCTCTCTCTCTCTCTCTCTCTCTCTCTCTCTCTTTTTTTTTTTTTTTTTTTTGCATATAAGGAGAGAATCTGGTTCTGCCTCAGAGAGGAGAATGAGGCAGGGGTGCTCAGAGAAGCAGTGATAAAGCGAGGACAGAGGAGCCCCTGGGTGGCTCCGTGGGCGAAGCATCCGACCCTTGATCTCAGCTCAGGTCCTGATGTCACAGTCATGATGTCAAGCCCCGCACTGGGTTCTGCGCTGGGTGTGAAACCTACTTAAAAAAAAAAAAAAAAAAAAAAAGGCAGAAAGAACCCTTCAGCCTCACTAGCTCATTAGCTGTATCCAGCTTCTTCCTGGCCTTGGCCTTGGCCTCATCTCCCTGTTTCTAATGCCCCTTTCGGCTTTACTGGTGCCTTTGCTGGTGCTGGCTTGGTACCCACTTCTCCTCCTGGCCCATCCAGCCTTCTTCGTTCCGCTCCAAAGGAGACATATAGCAGATGCCCCGTGGCCCTGATCTTCTTGGCTCCCAGTGGGTGATGTGGCCCGGTTGTGGGAAGGTGGAAGCAGGCATCCTCTCAAGAAGAGGGCAGACGTGACAGGGAAGGGAAGGCACAGCTGGCCGGCCGTGAGGAGGGGTCTCCCGTGATGGTACCACGCACAGGCGGGGTGCAGAACGAGGCTATTCCCCAGGGCTCTCTGCTCAGCGCTGGTCTCCCGGCTGCCCCCGCCCCCCGCCCCCGCCCCCCCACCGTGCCTTGCAGCCCTTTCTGGCACTGTCTCTCCCATCCAGCAGAAAAGCCCTCCCCTCCCCCATCTCCCTGACCTTTTCTCAAGGACCAGCTCAGTTTACAAAGAACTAACTATTGCCCAAAGGCCCTCATGGAATTGGTCAGATCCTCTGCGTCCTAGTTGGGACGATTATTCAGCCAAGATTTGCCTTCTGATGCTCCCGCTGTGGGCAGAGTGTGCTTTCTTGCCCTCATGAGGCTGGGCTCGGCCGCGTGACTTGCTTAGCCGATGAAACGTCAGTGGATGTGCACACGCAGAAGCCTCGCGTGTGCCATGAGAACGTGCCCCAGGAAGCCGTGGGTCCGAGATAATGAGAGACATGTGGACGGACTCGGACCCCACCTGCAGCTTCGAGCCAAGTCCAGCCGAGCCAGTCAAGATCATGGGGACCCGGGAGCCAGAGACGGAGTGGGATGTCACTCAGCACGACTGCAACCAACGCATGCACCTGTAAACCGGCAGGATTTGGTACCCCCTGCACCCCTGCGTGCCCAGAGGTACAGCCCTGAGCTGGCGAGGTCCTGGGAATCAGTCCCTCCTCCCCCATTTTCTAGCTGTGGAGACTGAGGCCCGGAGAGGAGAGGGTGGTGAGTCAGGCATCAGCCTGGCTCTTCACCAGCTGTGGGACCCTGGCCGGACGGAATGGAGTTTTGGCTTAGTCTCCAACCCTCTCAAATGGTGACAATGATCCTTATAAAAGAGACCATTCAGGTCCTGTGCCAAGCACAGAGCCTGTGCTCAACAATCGCATTGTCCGTAAGTGGCTGTTCTCCCAGGGAGTGGCAGAGCCCACGCCCGTCCCCGGGCCTCCCTCCCTCCCTCCAGGGGCAGGCAGAGAAGCTCTGGATTCTGGATGATTCCCTCTGGTCTGTTGGGCTCCTCTCCCCACATCTGCATTTAACCTCGACCCTTCCCACCTCCTGGGAGTTCCCAGAATATCTCCTGCTTCACCCTCTCTCTCAAATGGAAATAAGACCCCATCCTGGGGCGTCTGGGTGGCTCAGTCGGTTGAGCGTCCGACTTCGGCTCAGCTCATGACCTCACTGCTCATGAGTTCGAGGCCCGCGTTGCGCTCTGTGCTGACAGCTCGGAGCCTGGAGCCTGCTTCGGATTCTGTGTCTCCCCCTCTCTCCATGCCCCTCCCCTGCTCGTCCTCTGCCTCTCTCTGTCTCAGAAATAAATAAACATTAAAAAGACCCCATCTGGACCCCAGGCGCCCTGCTCCCCTTTCCTGCTGTGGCTGAGCCCAGGCCCGGGCCCCTCCGTGTCCTCCCCAGAGCACAGAGGGCTTGGAGTGGGTCCGGGTCACAGGCTCCCAGGGGCAGCTGACGGGGCCTCAGCTCGGGCTCCGTGGGACGGCTCCTCCCGGCTCGGCTCCAGCCTGACCGTGACCTCGCAGACCATCACACGGGGAGGGGAGGAGGGAGACGGAGAGACTGACCCGGGAGCTGACCTCTCCGCGGCCCCTGTGTGGGGACCCGCATCTTCCCTGGATGGTTCGCTGGGATGCTACTCTCCCTCCCGAAAGAGGGGCGTCCTCCGCAAACACACCCTCAGGCCATCGGAAGCTCATTTCAACCTTATAAAATCAGTACTTTTATTACCTCTGTGTGTGGTGGCAGAAAACCTGGCCCACCGGTGGCGCCCATGTCTTAATCCCTGGGGCCCTCGGATATGTTACCCTACCCGCAAGAGGCCTTTGGCCTCCAGAAACAAACCAGGCCCGGGCACGCCCAGCGCGGCGAGATCATACATATGTGCTGTTTTCTGTCACTCGCTGGGTGGCCATTCGTTAAGGGGAAACAAACGCACCGGGCTACAGGTGGGGAAATGGAGGCACGGAGGGTTCGAACAACCTGTTCAACGCCACACAGGGCCCGTCACCGGCCTCGCGAGGGAGTCCCAACCGCCGCCTGCTCTATGACCCTGGGCGGGTCCCTGGAGTCCTTCTGATCTCGTGTGTGAAAATGGGCCAGTGCGGCACTCGGAAGGGCCGCGCGGGAGGGAAGGCGGGGCCGGTTGACACGCGTGGGCGGTTGACCCGGGCCGCGGCCACCCCGCGCCACTCGCACACCCACCTGGGGGCAGGCCCGCCGGCCCTGGCCCTCCTCCTCCTTACACGGGCTGCAGCTCGGCTTCCAGCTTCTTCTTCCGGACCCCCTCCACGAAGAAGAAGTCCATGCCGATGAGGGTTTGCCCCAGGGGCGTGTCCACCCTGCTGCCCACAACCTGGTTCGTGGAACTGGGGACTGCGTCGGAAAAGAAAGGCACGTTCTCCGGCAACGTCACAGGCGCCTTCTTCTCGCCCTGAGAGCGGGGACGGTTTGTGTCACAGGCGGCAGGGAATGCAGGAGAGGCCTGCAGGCGGCCAAGCCCTTAGCAGGGAAGGGGACGCAGGGAGCAGGGGGCAGGTGGCCTCAGCAGGCTGCCTTCTGTCCCAGTTCTCACCTGGGAGCCCAGAAGGGTCACGAGACTCCTCATCTATGGCCAAATGCGTCTTCCTCACCCGGGGCTCCCTACCTCGGCCGCTCCCCTGACCCCTTCGCTTTGATGCTTGGCCTCCAGGGACCCGGGAGGGACCGGGTCTGACTCCTCTCTCTATCCCCGTGACCTGAGACACTGCCTCACATCTGGTGGGGGCGCAGAGGGTTGGTTTCGGGGTGAGCTTTTACTCGAAGTCTAACACACACGCAGGAACGTCCCCAAATCGTGCCCGTACAGCTCCACAAGCTGCCACGACGTGGGCCTGTCTGGGCAGCCGCACCCAGATCGAGAAATGACCACAGGACCCGGACACGCTTCCTCCCGACCCCGCAGCCAGCCTCCACCCCCGACGCGTCCTGGGCTCCCTCTCTAATTCCCGGGTTTTGCCCGGTGTTGAACTTTGTCTTATCTTTTATCTTAAAAAGACCGTGGCTCCTTTCTCCCCGGAACGTTTTCCGGGTTCATCCACATTTTTCTGGGCGTGGCTGCAGCTCATTCGTTGCCCTTGCTACCCCGCGTGCCACCGCGTGGCTTGCACGAACATTCCCCATCATTCACCCCTGCTGCCGCGGACGGCGTTGGGGTTGATTCCCAGTCTGGGGGTGCCGCTCTGGACATTTGCGCAGGTGTTTCTGGTGACTTTGGTGACTGAAAGGTGAGTAACTGCATGAGCTGAGCATAATCGGGTGAGCCCTTGTTGAAACAAGGGTTAACTCCGTGCTACCCCGTGTCAAATAGAAGTTGCAGGGCCAGTGGAATAATAGGATGCTGGCTTTCACCGAGGAAGGCCAGTGCCCGGGTGGCCCCACCTTTGGACGTGACTCAGGTTTCGGTGATCGGGTGGCTAACACCTAGCTCCTGGCAGGGGGACTCGGGGGGCTGGAAGCCCAGACCAGGGGCTCAGTGTAGGATTTCAGGTCTCATGATCCATTCTCCCATTGGGTCACTCCTCCGACATTAACGGAGCGCCAACTATTTTTTGGACGCTGGGGGGTAGGGCACAGCTGGCGGGTGGGGTACAGCGATGAAGCCATCTTTGTCCCTTCTCAGGGAGCCCACTGCCTGGTGAAACTGAGCACTGAAACACGACGCGCTCTATCAAAGGAGGGGGTTGGATACGCTGGCCAGTCAAGAACAGAGTGATCTGATTGAACCCGCTCGGGAAGGACAGATGTCACAGGAGGAGGGAATTGAGTGGGGTCTTGAAGGATGACCAAGACTTAAGAGCCCCTCATGCGGACAAGGTGGGAAGGGCACGCCAGGCAGGGGAATGGCATGCACAGAGGCCTCACCAAAACAGCGTGTAGGTCAGCGTGGGGAGGCAGGCAGGGCTAGATCGCGAGAAGCATTGTAAGCCACCCCGAGACACGCAGATTTATTGAAGGATTTTAAGCAGGGGAGGAATATGGCCAGTGTTGTGGCTTGGGAAAATTACTCCAGTAGCAATATGGAGGATGGACCGGAGGTGGCGATGTCAAAGCGGGGAATTGGTTTACAAATATGCCCGCCCAAGCTCATTCTCCATAAGGAAAACACCGCATACCCCTCACTACACATGGCTGACATCCTCACACGGGGGAAAACATTTCTAGTTGGTTCATCTTCATAAAATCAAGAAACACTGGGGAGAACTAACAACCTAAATGCTCGAAGCATTTTCTCTTCCCCTGACCCCGAGTGTCTTGAAACAAGAGAGCATTTTGGTTTTTGTCTCTGCACATTCCAGCATCTAACACACAGTAGGTCCTCAATCAATGTCAGATGAGTGCGGGGACATTCCCGGTTCAAGGGTGCGCAACAGGAACATCGCTGGCCTTACCAGGGGATCATAGTCTTTCAAGAAACTCCAGTTCTGAGCCCTGGAAAGGAAAACACGTGGGCAGTGTTACATCTCGCTGTGGCATTTTTTTATAAGGGACTTTCGCGGCGTCAAGGGAATGAGTCGAGGCCGCTGATGCACGTGTTACGTCATGGAAGGAGCTTCCGTGATCAAGTGAAACAAACACGGAAAACGCAGCCGGTGCGCGTCCTACGGAACGAACAAATATTTCCAGCATTCCTGACGTCTCCTTGGGTGGAACGAACAGTGCCAGGGGACATAGCCCGCGGTGAGAAACCCAGTGGTGCGAGTCCCCCCCCCCCCCCGTGTGCCTCTGCATCTTTAGGGCCACAGGGGAGCCCCCGAGTATTTTGTGAAGAAAAACCAGTTTCCGCTCACCCACTGCACATCCGGTGCGTGCGGCAGAGGAAGGCGGGAAGGGGCAGGGGACAGGGACAGACACAGGGATCCCGAGGAGAAGGGCATTACCTGTGTTGCTAGGGTAATTTTTATTTTAATCTGTTCCTAAGGAGTTGAACAATTCCATAAGACATAATAAAAACAGGCTTCTGTGCCCCCGTCCTCACAGCCCCTGAGCGCCCCCAGCCTGGGGTCAAGTTTCCACGGCTTTGGCTGTTTCTTTGGGCGTCTCGCCACCATGTTCTGGAACAATAAACCTAGGTTGCCCTTTTTTGCGTTTTTGAAACTGTAAGCGTATCTGTGGACTTTCAATTATGGGAGATTTTGAGTCAGCTCTCTTGCCCTTTTCCTCCCCCTCACTTCCTCCAAAATTATTCTGTGCTAGATTTTGGCTCAATTGATATGTATTGTTTACATCCTCAGGTTTCTGTAAATGAACTTCACGGAGCAACTACCTAAGATCATATGAGCTCACTTCCTTGTACGGCTTACAATTTTTTCTGGGGTTCATAATCACATCTTGCCCCAGTTTTCTTTTTTTTTCGAGAGAAAGAGAGAGAAAGAGAACAAATGGGAGAGAGACAGAGGGAGAGAGAGAATCTTAAGCAAACTCGCTGCTCAGCACTGAGCCCGACACAGGGTTCGATCCCATGACCCCGGGATCATGACTTGAGCCAAAATCAAGAGTCGGACGCTCAACGGACTGAGCTACCCAGACGCCCCTCTCATCTTTTGTCCTTTGTTTTTTTAGCTTTCTCTGTTCATATCACTGATTCCAAACCCTCCAACAAAATTGTGAAGCCCCTTGCGGCATGATTTTCTGCACAATCAGATGCAACAGGTAATCAGCTGTCTCTCTCACATTTGTTCTCCGGAGGCCGCCGTCCAGGAGCCCGGGTCGCCCAGTGCCCACCGGGGCTGCTGCCCAGGACCTGCTCCTGCCGTCCCGACCTCCACTCCGGGGATTCTCTCTTTCTGAATCCCGGGCCTTCCTTCCTTGTTCACTCTCCTGCCGTGGAGCACATCCTCCAGTGTCTGTGGAGGCATGCATTTCTCTGATTCTAGAAAGTTCTTGGACATTTTCTCCTCAAATAGTTCATCTCTCCCAGTCTCTCCTTGAGGAGCTCTGGTGAAGGGTATGTTGGTTCTGTTCTCTAGGGTTCTGATCCCTCCGTGGGGTCTCCCTCTGAGTAATTGCAACGCGTCTATCTGAGTTTATGAATCCTCATTCCAGTTGTGTTTTGTATTTCCACGTTACGGATTTTTATTTCTAGAGGTTCTTTTTGGTTGTTCTCCAAATTGCCTGATTGTTCAAAGTCCATGCTCAGGCTTTGAACTGAGTCTCCTGTGTATAGCCGTCTGGAGACATCTGGAACCTTCCTGCCCGAGCCTTCCCTGGGGGCGTGTCTCCCCTCTGCCCTTCTATGCCGCACTCTCCCCGCTCTGCCCGTTCATTTCCTTCCATCTTCCCCAAGTGTCCTGACCCTCCCCTCCCCCCCACCATCACCCCCTTTCCTGTCACGAGGGAGCCACGTTTCAATAGCTTTGGTTTTGAGTTGACAGAAGGCACGGGCCTTGGCCTCAGAGCCTGGCTAAGACTTAGCGGGAGGCAGCAGGGTATGAGGAGAGAACGCGGGGCCCCTGTCCTGGCTTTGCCTGCAGCCCGCTTCGCTTGCTGTGTGGCCCTGACGAGGTCACTGTGTTCTTGGGCCCTCAGTTTCTCTGTCTGTAAAACCCCAGGAGGTTGGTTTACCGAACACCTGTGAGTCGAGGTCTGCTGTGAGTGCAAAATATACAGACCGGATTTCACAGACTTGGTACAAAGAAGGAGGCAAGTATCTCTTTAATTCTTTTTAAAATATTGACTGCATGCCCAAAAGATAATATTTTCAGTAAGATATGTTATGAAGAGGTGCCTGGGTGGCTCAGTCGGTTGAGCGTCCGACTTTGGCTCAAGTCATGACCTCATGGTTCGTGAGTTCAAGCCCCGCATCCGGCTCGCTGCTGTCAGCCCAGAGCCCCCTTCCGATCCTCTGTCCCACCCCCACCCCCCACTCCCTGCCCCTCCCTCATTCTCTCTCTCTCTCTCAAAAATAAATAAAAAGCACAAAAACGTGTGTTATTAAAATGGATTTCCCTAATTTCTTGTTACATTTTTTTAAGGTCGCTACTAGAATATGGAAAAGTATGCCTGTGACTCGTATTTCTGTCAGGCTGAATGGTTCTGGATTTCCCTCAACCCTGTCCTCTTGGTTTCTGGGACCCTTTCTTCTCTGGCAGCCTTTCTCAGTCTCCTGGCTGCTTTTCCGTCCAGCGACTGAACGTTGCCAGCCCTGTGCTATGACCTCACCGCTGGAGACCCGTCATGCCCTTCCAGGGAAAGCTTATCACCTTTCCAGGGCCAGTTTCTTTTCTTTCTGTTCACCGGTTTCCTTTTTGGTTCACTCGAGATCAAATCCACATGTCATAACGTTCATCCTCCTACAGTGTGTGGTCCAGTGGTTTCCGGTATATTCCGAGTTATGCACCATCGCCACCATGTCCGTCGCCCCCAAAAGAAACCCCGTGTCTCTTGGTGGTCACTTCCCTTCTCCCTCCCCTCCTGGCCACCTCTCTGCTTTTTGTCCCTGTGGGTCCAGTGCCCAGCTCTGGACTACTGATGTCCGGCTCCAGCTGGACGGGTTTCGGGGGCTTGAAAGCCAGCCGGCCCTCCGAGTCTCCACCCCAGAGCCGCCTCCGTTAATCATCCAGGCAGGAGACGCGTCACCCCTACCTCCTGAGTGCCGTGTCGCCCCGGAGGCCCTCGGAGCGCCTCTCTCCCCACGACACAGTCACACTCTACTTTTTCGTCTGTCCGCTAGCTCTTTGGCCACCCTGTCCTGAGAGTGCACGCTCCGGGAGCCAGGTCCAGGCCGTCCCGTGTCGCGGCCCGACAAGGTGGCCCTCCTAACGGCATCTGGACCGAGTGGTGCCTGCAGGGACGTCCTTCCCCTGGTCCGAGGGCCAGGGCTCCCCCAGAAAGCCACCCCCCCCCGTGTCCTGGCCGGCACCCCGCAGTCAGTCCCGGGAGCACCAGCCGGAGGGGCCACTCCAAAGGCAGACGGGACCCCAGAATGAACGAGGTGGGTCACCTGGCCCCTGCCCACCTCTCCCACCCTCCGGCTCAAGTCCGGCCAAGGCATGTGCTCCCGGCCCCCTGGCCCCGAGCACTTCTCCATCAACACCGTTTGCCTGGCTTACTCCTTCTCATCTGTCTCTCTGTTTCCAGAAGCTTCCTAGACCCTGAGTTGGGCTGGGGGTCAGGCAGAACACTCACCAGCGCCGCTGGCCCCGTCTCTCGGCCTCCAGGAGCTCCCTCCACAGTTGATCCTGCTGCACACCATCAGTTCCGGGGGCCTGGGGGGCTTGGCGACCGCCAGCGAGACCCCTGCCCACTGCGGGGCCACTCCGGGCAGTGGGGGTGTGTAAGGCGGACGGCCTGGTGGAGGGGAGCCGGTACCCAGCGGATGTGGTTCTCTGGAACCCAGGGTGGGGGTGACTCCCCATGGATGTGTGTGTGTGTGTGTGTGTGTGAGAGAGAGAGAGAGAGAGAGAGAGACAGACTGAGAGAGACAGAGGGAGGGAGAGGGAGAGAGAAAGAGACAAAAAGACAGACTGAGAGAGAGAGACAGAGACAGAGAGACTCCTGTCTGAGCTCGGAACCCTCCTGGGATCCCCCCTCCCTCTGAACCCCAGGGGAGCCTGGCAGGGGTCGCCGCCCCTCAAGACCCCAAGCTCAGAGTGGTGGGACAGCCCTTGAGCCCAGCTTCGTTTTCAGCCTCTGTCTGTGTTGACTGTTGCCCTGGGAACTGGGCGGCACCCACGTGAGCTCAGGAAAGAAAAGGAAGGGCGTGTATGTGTGTGTGTGTGTGTGGGGGGGGGGGGGGTATGCGTGTGAGATGTCTGTGCGAGGCCCAACTCAGCCGCCCCTCAGTTCTGTCCCCTGCCCGCCTGGCTGGAGACCTCAATACAGCATAGGGGGAGAGGGATCAAATACGGAGAGGGATCAAAGCCCAGACTTCTGGGGCGGTGAGAAAAGACACCTGTTTTGGCTCCCAGACAGGATGTGGGGCTTTGGGCCCAGCCTCCCAACTGCCACATGACCCTGAGCAGCCCCTGCCCCTTTGGGAGCCTGGGAACTGGCAACACTAATCCTTTCGGCTCCCCCGTGGATGCAGGGCTCCCGTGAGAAGGTGGACGAAGTGTGGACGACAGGGCACAGGGCGGGTACCGGTGTGATGTCCCCTTCTCCCCGGAGGAGGTGTGAGCCTGTGGCAGGCAAGGGCAAATTAGTGATACTGTGCGATGCGTGCCTGTTTTGGCTCCGCAGAGCTGGAGGGTTTGCAAAGCACTGTCCGTTATCTTGCTCAACCCTCCCAATCATCCAAGGCAGGTATTTCCAACCCCGTTCCACAGATGAGGACACCGAGGCCCTCCCCAGCAAGATTAAGTGACTGCCCAAGGTCACTCAGTCACTAACTGAGACTTGGCCTTGAGTTTGTTTGGATCCTCTGAAGGAAACAAGGAGAACCGGCAGGTGGGGATTCCGGTTCTGAACCTCTGGCTGCGATTCTGCCCTGACCCAGTGTGGCCCGGATTGCTCTGTGGCCCGGGCCTCTTCTCGTGTGGCTCAGTTGGCCTCCTCAGACACCCCTCCCCCGTGGCTTCTGCTCCCAGAACTAATGCTCCCAGGTGTCTCGGCTTTTGGCTGTCCCCCGCCACTGGCAGACCCTCCTCTCTTTCCTTGAAGCTTTTCGGGGGGGCCGATGGAGCTGGGCGCAGCGCTCACGGCTCTGCATAGCTGGGAAATAGACTCGTAGCAGACAAAGCCACACTCCACAGCGGTGTGCACAGGGTGCCCCGGGGTGTGCGGACAAGTTCAGCCAACGCACCTGAGCTCGCACTGGATTCTGTTTTCACGAGAGAGGCACCAAGGAGAGGTGAAGAGAACTTGCCAGGTGGAAAAATTGGGGAAAGCACAAATGCGGGGATTTCAGAGGGGGCATCGGTATCGGGGGGAGGTGAGAGAAGGGAGGTCTGAGGCTGGTGAGTGGGGCCCCCGGCCACAGGTGTCGGAGCTGTGCCCCGAGTTAGTGCACAAGGGGGAGACCCTGCTGGCTTGAAGCCCCAGGGGGTTGCAGGGCAAAGAAGCATCAGGAAAGGACAAGAAGCTGGGGAGTGACCACTGCGGGGGCCCAGGTGAGAGGCGGTGAAGCCCACACTGGTTGGGGGGGGTGCGCAGAGGGCTGGAGCAGAGATGGGGTGACAGCCGCCAGCACTTGCCTGAGGGGGCGGCTGAGTGGTGTGACCTTCTGGAACAAAACCAGCCCAAAAGCAGAGGCTGTGGGGCGGGTGGAGTCTGTCTCTTCTCTCTCCTCTGCTCTTGCTCCAGAGCTGGGACAGGCAGGCTGGCATTCAGTGACCTTGACGTTTTTCCCAATGAAGATGAACTGGGTGGAACCCCGGGGGCCCAGAAACAGGCTTTCCCGGTGGCTATTGTCTCTTTGGTGTCTGTGGCCTCAGCACAGCTGGGACAGGTCTCTGCTTTGCCAAGGAGTGGCAGCTCCTACCTCCTGGAACCTCTGGAAGGGGCCCCATGAGCGTGTTTAGAGACGGCGGTGCCTGCCGCGTGGGACACCTCTTGTAAAGCCAACCACAGGCTGTGACGTAGAGCAGCTTGGAACAGCCTGGAATAGCCATGTGGTTTGCTCAGATACTTTGGCCCAGGTCCCCTGGACACATGCTCCGGAGACATGGAACAGGACCAAGAAGGCCAGCAGGTGCTTCCAGGATGAACCAGGGCTTGGTGAGTGTAGAGGCTGAATATTTCTGTGGGGGTTGGCTTTTCATTTAACTTAGAAACCATTTCAGGCTGACCAATGGTAGAGGGATGGAAATGTGACAAAGCGAATAGAGCAAAACATTCATTGTAGAATCTAGGTGATGGGTATATAGGTGTTCACGGTTCTTTCAACGCTTCTATGTGTTTGACATTTTTCAAAATAAAATGTGGGGGGCATGGGGCGCCTGGGTGGCTCAGTCGGTAGAGCGACCGACTTCGGCTCAGGTCATGATCTTACAGCTCGTGGGTTCGAGCCCCGCGTCGGGCTCTGTGCTGACAGCTCGGAGCCTGGAGCCTGCTTCTGATTCTGTGTCTCCCTCTCTCTCTGCCCCTAACCCACTCACATTCTGTCTGTGTCTCTCTCAAAAATAAATAAACATTAAAAAAAAATTAAAAAATGTGGGGGGCTTGGGGGAGATTTCACCTGCCGGTGCTGCTTGAACACATTCTGTTTCCTCAGTCACTGACCTGGAAAAGTGTTCAGATCCACTCTGGGTGGGTGTCACTGAGCCCAGCCTGGAGGGAATCAGGACACTGGGTTCCAGTTCCAGCTCTTCCAATGACTTGCTAGGTGTCCTTGAGCAAGTCATTGCCCCTTCCACACCCCACATCTTGAGATTTAACTTTATATACAACTCTCCAGGACAGGACAAAAATGCCTGGATTTGGGGGTTTGCTGGGGCTGTATTTTAATGGGTTTCTCGCAACCCTAAGGACCTTAACGTAGGTTCTGGTAGAACTCTACAGCCTAGCCTCTGATGTGCAGTGACAGGTGGGGCCCCACTGGGCCAAGTGCCAGCAACAGGGGAGAATTCGCTAAACCGGGTGGGGTGGAGCCTCAGGGGCAAACGTGGGTGGGGCTGGCTCAAGGAGCCCGCCCACTTCCTGTAGACCCCGCCCCTTCCCCAATTAGCTGGCGGAGGGCGGGTCCCTAGGGGGAGCTCCCCGCCGCCGAGCAGCGCCCAGGGGCCTCAGGGAGCCGGTGCAGAGGTGGGTTGCGGGAGTTGGGAATGAGACAAATGAGGCTCAGGGGAAGGGCGGCGGGGCTCCAGGAAGCAGGGGCTGCGGTGGGGAAAGTGTTTGCTTGTGTAGTTTAGGCTTCCCTCCTGTGCCCTGGAACGCCGACCCGGATAAAAATTTTGGCTTAACACCAACCTCCATTTCCCCCCAGGCGCACACCCTGAACGCTTTATCCAAGGTGATGAAAGCCAGAGGACTTGGGGCCACCTTTCACACCTTTCCAGAGGCTCCTACCAAGTCCCCAGAGAGTTCTGAGTTTATCCCTACGGCGACGGTCAAGGTTAATTTATTTGTGGATAAGTCCACACCCCCGTGGCATCCCAGGCCATTTTCACTTTGGAAGAGTCACTTTTGATCTTACTGTTTGTTATTTCTTTGCTGTCAGTGTACCCACCGTTTTGTATTCAGCTTCAAAAAAGTTAACATCGGAAACACCTTTTCATGTGTTTCTTCGTGATCTTTATACATCTCACTTTAATCCGTTTCTTAGAATTGATGTGACATAATTTACTTAGCCATTTTCCCTCTTCCTGGGCATTTACTTTGTTTCCGGATTTAGCATGAGCTCCGGTGAATATCTTTGTGCCTCTTTCTGTGGAACTGTTTCAATAGGACATATTCCCAAAATGGGATGACGGAGTCAGAGGATAGGGACATCTTAATGACACGCAGTATACAGGGCAATGTTGCTCTCCAGCCAAGCATGAGTGTGTCAGCTTTGCTGGTCCCGCCGGAACTGGAAGCTGGGTGTCGATCAGGGTCTCTGAGACCACCCCCAGGTTGATGATCTGCTGGGAGGATTCCCAGGACTCAGCATATGGCAATGTTCATGGCTCTGATTTATTTTGGCCATCGGAAAGGAAGTCGAATCAGGAAAGAGAAAGGCATATGAGACGAAGTCCAGAGGAAACCAGGCAAAAGCTTCTAAACCCTGTCCTGTGGAGTCACTCGGGACACGCCGCCCAGCAATGAGTTGTGGCAACGTGCGTGTCAAAGATTGTCGACCAGGTAGGTTCCTTAGAGAGTCAGCTCCCCGGGCTTTCACTGGGGGCAAGTCATATAGGCACTTCGTGTGGCACGTCCCCAAATTCCAGATTCCCAGAAGGAAAGCAGGTTCTCAGCAGCAGGAATTATCGTAGCACAGCGTAGGCATAGGGAGCCTATTATCAGGGAATGGAGGGAATCCTCCCAAAATCTGGGTTCCCAGATGCCAGTGAAGGGCCAATCTTGCAAGCAGGCCTTTCTTGAGGACAGTGGTCTCAGCCACACTGTGTTAACTCTTTTGCACTTTCGTGATTTCGCTTTCTAACACTTAACTAGAAAGTGGGGTTTTTCCCCACGAACATCCTTGATAATTTTCAGCAATTAGGCACTCTATACCAATCTAGGCTCTGGGAGATAATATAAATATTCCCTGATAGACATTTACGTTAACGATAATAATTGTCAGGGAGCCTGGGTGGCTCAGTCGATGAAGCATCTGACTCTTGATCTCAACTCAGGTCATGATCTCGGGGTTGTGAGTTCAAGATCCACGTTGGGATCTGCATTGGGCACGAAGCCTACTTAAATAATAATAATCGCATAGCACTTCAGGTCGGAGAGTACGTCTGCATTTCTCACCGGAGTATAACCGCCTCCTGGGGTGGTTGATCATATCTGGATTTGGTGCAGAGCCTGTGTGCTCAGGAAACCATGTCCCCCACTGGTTCCATGTGCAGGAAATGAGGTGCCAGGACCAGGGCCCCTGCTGACTGCCATTTCTGATCTCTTCCTAAATTATTATTTGCAGAGGAAAAGCATCCCACATAAACAGTTTTACCTATAAACTCAGTGGTTTATATTCTGAAGACTCTGGATCCCTGGAAGTTGGGGGCACTTTAAGCACTGGAAAAAATGTTC